TTTCTCGCTCGAGTCCATCCTTCAAATCTATAAATCAACCATTCACCCTTGCATGGAATACTGCTGCCATATATGGTCTGGAGACCCCCCGCCCCGCTGTTCGTCTTAAGGTCCTTGACAAAATCCAGAGACAAATATACAATGTGGTTAGCTCTGATCTGGCATCTCTCTCACAGACCTGCCGTACCCTCCCTCTGTCTTTTCTACAAATACTTTCACGGTAACGGCTCCGACGAGCCATTTTCGCTCGCCTCCAAACTGCATGAATTTAAACGTGCTACTAGGTCGGCATCTCGGTCCCACCCTTTCACTGTCGAAACGGTTAAATGCAGCCATCTCTTCTACTCCAATAGCTTCATTTCTTGCACTTCCCGTCTATGGAACTCCCTTCTTCTTATTCGCTTCCCTGATAGCTATAATCTCCAACTATTCAAATGCAATGTCAATCGACATCTCCAGATGCTTTTATCTATTCCCCGTCCTTCTCATCATCCTTTACTCTCTCACGCCTCTTTACTCGTGTTCCCACTTTCTGTAACCCCTTGCGTGCTAGTGGCACACCCCGCTTGCTTGAGGTGAAAATTAAAAAAAAAAAGTTAACAAGCAAGGAAACTTCTGCCTAAAGTATACAGAAAATCACAAATGGCGCTCATTTTTAAACATAAATACAAGATGTTGTGTTGAGAGATGATTATGAATGTTAGTTCTAAAAAAATGATTGCAGGATATAATTGAATAATACGTTGAAATTAATAAGTATAAACCTTTTTAATTTTGTTCGGAATCATTTTTATAGGGTAAGCAATACACACCTTGCTTCTTATTAATACACGCCACTGGTCAGAAACCATCTTGTTTTGGGATCTTTTTTAATACACATACTATATGACTCAATTAAGACGATGCTAGGACAGTCTTTACACACTGAGTCTGCGCTTCACCCAATATCAGCCCCACCTGTGCCTAGGAAGATCATGAAAGTTAGATATATGAAGGACAAACCCGAAACCTGGCGAGATGTAGAATTCAACTTCGGAAAAAAAACCTAAAGCGGCACACCCACTGACCGACAACCCTCTACCTCGAATGGCTCTTGGACCAGGTAGAGGATGAAAATCGTTGTAAAAAAAAAAGTCCGGTGTGTCCGTTAGTAATATACATCAATAAAATTAAATTACATTTGACGTTGAATCTCTCTAACACGAAAGGTTGCAGACTCTTTGTATTTTGGTTGGAGGATAGGTGACTTTGTGACGACGTTACTGTAAATTTCAAATCAATCATATTCCTTATCCCAAACTGACTGTTCATGACAATCGTTGTCACAACGTTAGGGTGACCTTGTAGAGTGCTATAACTGAAAAAAAAACGCACTACTCAAATAACATTAGAATATTTATTCTTCACTTTATCTTTATAGAAATTATAAAATTTCTTTTCATATTATTTTTTAATTTAGCATCACTAATTTCGTTAATGAATACACGTTCTGATATCATTCTGGAATTTATTCTCAAATTTCTGCTAATTAATAATACAAGGCAACGTATTTCTCATTTTACACGGTCACGTTACGAGCACGTTGTGGTAGTCTACAAAAACACGTTTTTGCAACCTCAATGTAATTTCCAAAACATTGTAGCAGCGTTATTCTGTTGGCTGCGAACTGAGAATAAAAACGTCATATGATTGAGTGAATATGGGACATTTATTTCAGTGGTGGCGTAGCCTTACCCAAGAGATGTTGCAACAAATTTCTCCCAGAGAGTAGATAACAGTAACCATAGAAAAAATATAAAGATAGGTAAACAAAAATTGTTCCGTCTGTCGGAGTTAGCTCCTCCTTAATTCCCTAATTGTTCACTAGGGGTCACTCTCCCTACACTATAAATACTGGGCGACTTCTTGCCTCCTTCTCTTTTTCACTTTGCATTTCAGCGGACACATTTAAGAATGTGATCTCTTGCAGAGATCCGCGTTTTCGCCCACTTACGAACATTCACCAATATACAAACTCTTTACGTTCACACACAAACAGAAATGTTGATGTCTTTATCACTTGTAAATTTTGTCGTTTAATACATATATTTGTTGAAATATATATATATATATCTGTCTGGTTTGTTTTCTTTGCATCTTCGGTTGGACAAATTGAGTCCGCTATTTTCTTGTAGTTGGGCCTTCTTTTAGCAGGAATAAACAGCACGTGTCCCTAATTCAACAACACTCAAACTCACACGGTCCTCTACACGTCCCAAAAAGAAAGACCTTTATATAAAACGGAGTTCTCCAAACATTTTAGACCATCAATCCCATCATGAAAAACTTGATCGTGCATCGACTCTACAAACATTTAGAAGTAGCAATAATATTCTTTTATTTAATAAAAGAATATTGCTTTAATTTTTTTTTAAATGCCTTAAATAATAAAATTTATTATTTAAGGCAATTTTTAGCCTTCCTACCCATAAAAAAGACGGTGTATCAAAAGGACGGTTTTTCCATTAACACCGCTTTTATTTTTAACTATTTTCACTGTTCGGAAATTTATTGTTTTAAAAAACGATAATTAAAGATTGCCGCAATTTCTTTGCACTTTTCCTTCATTATTGTTTCTACATCTTGATACGCTTTGAATAACCATCAATATGATAACAAAATATTATTTTTCTGGCTCTTCTCCCCTGCTAATGTCTTATCCATCCTTGTTGGCCTCGTTGATTTGGTTTGGTTTGGTTTGTTTTACGGCATATCAACCTCAATGGGTTATTTAATGCCAACAAAATTTTTATTGCTGGTAATATTTTGTTTTGTCAAAAATCTATTTCTGGTAATATTTTCCTTCAAAAATGTATTGCTGGTAATATTTATTTTTTTAAAAAACATATTGTTGGTAATATTTTTTTCAAAAAGTTATTCCTGGCAATATTTTTCTTTTTCAAAATGTATTTGTGGTAATGTTTTTTCCTCAAAAATGTATTGTTGGTAATATTTTTTTCCAAAAATGTATTGCTAGTAATATTTATTTTTTAAAAACATATTGTTGGTAATATTTTTTCAAAAATGTACTGCTGGTAATAGTTTTTTTCTTCAAAAATTTATTGCTGGAAATAATTGTTTTACAAGGTATTTCTGGTATCATAGTGTTTTTACAACAGTTTCGGGGTTAACTATTTGCCCATAGCTGGGAGCTTAACAGGTGCTACCACTTGGGTCAGAGTGGACATGGAAACATCAGCAATTAAGAGGTGGTTCTACGCTCCTCGAAACCTCCTGATCAGAAGCCTTGCTGCTGGACGTAGTTTATCGTCTTACCAAGGACGTGGCATCGTTGAAGTGTTTTCATGCTTATCGACTTTAGTTTACCAGCAATGAACTTTAATCAAACAGGACTTGATAATGGTGATCGAGCTTGTCTGGTTGACTATTACTATTACGCCGTCATATTGATCCTCACTGAGTGCACCATTCGTGTGCCCTTGTGCCAAACTAAACTGAGTTTTCAAAATTAACTTTAAGTAGTGAAGCCTTCTCACCCGCTTCAGCGCTTACTGGTCCAGACTCGCTAATTTGGTTAAAATCTGGTGCACTTTTTAAAGCCTTATATAACAATGGGCTTGTATTATAATAAACAGGATATATCTAAAAAAAAAAAAAAAAAGATAATGTTTTCTGTTTGTGTGTGTGTGTGTGTGTGTGTGTGTGTGTGTGTGTGTGTGTGTGTGTGTGTGTGTTTGCGTGTGTGTGTGTGTGTTTGCGTGTGTGTGTGTGCGCGTTAAAGTCGTGTAGGTCTTCGTATCCAAATCTCTTTAAGGACGAAAGTACGAAATGGCGAATAACTCGTAAAGTTATAAGAAAACCAGTGCGTATGAAAAGAACATGCCATTTTTCGGCACCAAAAGCACCCCGTTACCTCCAAGATTCTCTAAAATTAAGGCTCAACCTTAAAGGAAGGAGGGTTCAAAAAAATGGAGGCTAGGGTGGGAAAATGGTAGCGAAAAGGCGTGAAGGGAGGAGAACTGACGTAGGGGGTGAGAAAAATATGCAGTTATTTCCCTACGCCGGGTTCATCAAGTACAAATGTTTCTATTTTGTCTTTCTTTTGTTTTGTTTGTTATTTTTTAGTTGTTTCTTTGTTGTTTTTTGTTTTCGTTTTTTTTTGTTTTTTTTTTTTGTTATGTTTTTTGTGGGAGGTGCATTTTATCTTCCTTAGCATATAAAGAGTAAAGATACGTGTAGAAAGACTAAGGGTATAGAATAACTTAGTGCAGAAGATATATAACATTATTATTATTTTTATTATTATTATTATGATAAATGTCACGATACTAGAGCAGGCATGGCTCTTATGGTATCTTAATCAATATAAGCTGTTAACATGTACATGTTTTGTCTTAAATATTTACTGCAGTAAATATCTCAAGTACCACAGATTTACTTGCCATTTACCTGACTTTAATCCTTTAGAGGTCGATGCACTGTGTACCATTGTTTCTGAGCGAGTAATAGTAAGGAAACATCATGGCTAGTGTTGGGGAAAGCTTATATTTTTGAAGGATAAGGCAGCCAAGACGACTTGGAGAAGGGCTCATATCTAGATAATTGGGAACCCCCTCAGCCAGTAATCTGATCGGACTGAATTACATGGTTATCCGCTGCTTTTTATTCAGAACCTCTCACCATATCGTGCACTTTGGGCTGTGGTGTGTCTTCCTAGCATACCTTTGTCAGAATCGGTGTTATGATAGGGTGATTGGGCTTCCATACATTTGTACCACAGCATCGCTTTGTTGTTAGACCGATCTCTCACTCAACAACATCACCACCACCACGCATCACCATCACAACCAACAATAACATCAACAACAACAACAATAATAATAAAGATAATTTACTATTGATAATTACTATTTTCATTTTCATTGCTTCTTTGTTTTAATATTTAAACGCCATGTTCCTTCAGGACTTAAAAGATCGTAACTATCCATAGATTTGTGGTCTTACGGCCATAACACGCTGAAACACCAGTTCCTGTACAATCACCAAAGTTAAGCAAGGTCGAGCCTCGTCAGTACCTAGATGGGTGACCGCTTAGAAAAAGCAGGTACTCTAAGCTTGGATGTGCTGGTGGTGTGATGGATAACGGACCGGAATTGTTAATCGGGGAGACGAGATCCAATTCCAATCGGGTTCGTTATATTCACAAGGCACAAATACCCTTGGTTAAGGTAAGAATCCACCTCTTTTCCTCTCAGCTAGTAGATAGGTTCGCATATCATCCGGTTCATACTCCTCCCCGGTCTTTTGAACAGGAGTAGAGGTTTATCCTTTGTTTCCTGTTTAGAATTGGGTTTCTGGATCCTTCTAACGTCTTTTCTTTCTCTTTCGCTTCCCGTAGTTCCTTGTGTTTTAGTGGCATTATTACCTTGTTAAAGTGAATTGATTAAAAAGATGGGACTTGTATCACTAAACCATGATTATCTAAAAAAATAAATTCTTACGATCTAAAAACTTTTTCAGGCTTTAAATAATCTGCAAAGTGTTGATAAATCGTAGAAAACAAATCAATCAATCCATAGATTTCTTTTTCCTCTGCTTTTTCTTCCTCCAAACCTGGTTATCACTAAAAACAAGAGGGCTGGAAGGTCCAATTTACACTGCTATTTAAACTAAAGGCTAGTAGTCCCTCTTTACACTGCTATTTAACTAAAGACTAGTGGGTCCAATTTACACTGCTATTTAACTAAAGGTTAGTGAGCTCAATTTACACTGCTATTTAACGTAAGGCTAATGTGCTCAATTTACACTGCTATTTAACTAAAAACTAGTGGGCCCAATTTATACTGCTATTTAACTAAAGGCTGGGGGAACAATTTACACTGCTATTTAACTAAAATCTAGAGGGCTCTATTTACAGTGCTATTAACTAAAGGCTAGTGGGCCCAATTTACACTCCTATTTAACTAAAGGCTAGTAGGCCCAATTTACACTGCTATTTAACTAAAGGCTAGTGAGTCCAATTTACACTGCTATTTAACACAGAGTCAGAAGAGATGGAGTCGTACATTTCCCAACAGCATTCGTACAAAAATGAACGCAGCAGAATAGACCGAAATTTGAACTCGGTACGTAGATAGCACGTCCTGCGCTAATAACCATTATACCACCCACATATTTTTTTGAATTGACGTCTTTTTTTTTCTTATTTTAATATGTGTCATTACATTTCGTATTGTACTTGTTCTTCTTTCCATATTTATTTCTTCTTAAGTGATTGCATAGACATGAAGAACAAGTAGCAATAAAAGTGAAATATTTACGGTTTTGCTATGTCACTTTCTGATGGGACATAATTCTTAAGTTAATGACTGATTAAGCTCCTTACGAATTCCACGACTATAAAATTTCAGTGGTAATTCCATTGTTACATTGTTAAATATTTGAGCTTAACAACTTTAACAAAATATTCCAATAACAATTATAAACATGAATGCAGGTCGTTAGTCAAAGAAATAAAAGGATAAAAACGATAAAGTTAAAAAATGACAAGGTTTGTTTTTTATTTCATTGAAGCAGACGTAAAACACGTCTCGTGTTATCGCCTTTCTTTCTTTCTTTCTTTCTTTCTTTCATGGTCACGAGTCCCATAACCCATTTAGATCGTAGGGGCAGCCGGAGTAGCAGTTGTGTTTCTTGGGCAATATAGCTTGACAGAGCCCAACCTCCTCCATGGTGGTTTGAATTCAGTATTTCCTTCTCCTAGACTAGTTACCAACCAAGGCTATAGGACCCTGTCTTCCCTGCTATTTATCCATAACTTGGTGGGAAGTATTAGCAGAAAGATTAATCAGCAATACGATGGAATGATGGACAGACGCTCGGATTGAGAAAGAGATGAGTTTCAATTCATTCTTTATTTTTCCCTAAAAATCAAACAGAGCTTTTGATATACCTTTTCTCGCACTTTGTGGGCAGAGAACAGGAGAGCTATAACAAGTCTGTCTTCACAATCAAATATAAATGGTGTATTATTTATCCGATGTAGTGGCAGGGCGTAAGATACCGGCTAAATAACTAAGGAATAAGCAGAATTATAATACGAAAATATTGGTGCTGTTCTTTGTGAAAGAAGTATTTATTACGAAACGTGAGAATCAGGTCATGACAAATTAATCGTTAGTTTCTAAAGTCGTTATAGAATAAAAATTAAGATGGAGAACAAACGAAAGCACGAAATGATAGAATGCGTGTTTATGAGTGCACAAGACATAGAAAGGAATTGACGTGTTTCCAAAGACTCGCAGAGATACTGGAAGATAGCAAGAAACAAAAATAGGGCCTGCATTGTTATATCGTTTTGAACTGGTTAAGATATGTTCCTATTTGCCCTTCTTGTAGACTGTAGGCTTCCGGTCGGACCTAATCGTCACTATCAAAATTATCAATTTGAAAGCAGTCATATCGGCGCCGGAAAGGTGGGAATTTCGTCGGGTGAGTCGAGCAGAAAGAGAGAGAGAGAGAGAGAGAGAGAGAGAGAGAGAGAGAGACAGCCACTGAAAAACCACTATTTTTTGTTCTATTTTCTTTTGTATCTATTGGCTTTTACTGTTATATTTTTAGGTGTCGGTTGTTGCTGTTGTTGTTGTGTCTATTTTTTTAATGTACTAAAGTAGATGAAGAACGCTTCCAAAAGTTAATATACTTTCTTATCAGTTTCAAACAACGGTAACGAAAAGAAGAGGAAGCCGGAGAAAAAAAATATACATTTACGGTTATTATCTGATGCGAGATTGTGAGAAGCAGTGTCCAGAATATGATTATAAAACGACAAAATCAGTTTTCCAAAGAAAGAAAGAAAAGAGATAAATGAAAAACAAAATATTAAATAAAATCAGAACAATTACATCAAGATGACAAACTCTTTTAATCAACTCGCTTTTCTACGTCCACTTCATAGGCGATCATGGCTCTCCGCAAACAACTTTTCTTTATTATCTATAAATATTCAAGGTTTCTTGTGAAAAGATAGTGTATTGGTTCCACCTTGTGTTCTCAACATTTTTAAATTCATAATATTTCTACTCACGTACTGACTTCAGTATCTGCCCATATTTCTGAGATGAGATATTATGTACACTATTTACATTATTCGGACTATTGTCCTCGTCTTTGTCGCCATATTTATCACAACGTTTCGGCCTTTATACGCTCCGGCCTTCTTCAGGTTGTTGGTCGAACTGAACCCTTTATTTCGCTCACTGGGGTAGACTGTTCTAGTTTCACGTGCCATGTTTAATGGATGTCAGTTATCAGTTATCTCCTCTTAATTCCCCTCTGCAAGTTCTCCACTGCCTTAACCGGGTATTGAACTCACGCTCCTTGGATCCTGTCACTGGATTAAACCAACGCCTTTATCCACTGTGCCACAGTCGATAAAGGCATTGGTCAGATCCGATTTGTTACTAATTTGGCCACAGCAGAAAATCTTGAGAAAGTAAGGAGCGATTTCTGTCGAGAAGTACATATTTCATTAAGAGGATTTATTTTTCGAGGAAAGTTGCTGTTTATTTGTTATTAAATTCATTATTTACGAAAAGAAACAGGAATACCAATTCAAACATGTGTACCTACTAAAAATAACTATTATATTAATTAGAATTTATGTCGGATGTGAAAAAAAAGGAGTCAACTGTAATCGAAATCATCAAGTCAATGCGAATGATCCTTTTCTTTAGTTGCATAGTGTCTTTCGCCAGGGCTACATACAGATTTGAATTCAGAATTTTCCTTCTCCTAAACTGGTTGCCACCCAAAGCTATAGAACTAATCAGTCCTACTATTATCCCATAGCTGGGGGGTGGAGAAGAGTTGTATTCATGCCTTTCCAAAAGGAAGATATGTCGGATATAAATCTATTTAAATATTAGTGTTTACGTTTCGAGAATGAAAATGAAGCTAGACGATATAGATTTATAGAATTCCCATATATTATTTTAGCCATTATCAAACCATTTCACTGAATTTGATAACCGTGTTTGTAAAATAAAACATTCCTATATTTCTAGATACATACGTTAAAAAAATCCATACATTCAGTTAAAAGTTGAAATAAGATCATCATTGATAATGGGTAAAAGAATAGCCGAAAGCTTTCAGACATACAGAACATTCGGACAATTTATAAATAATTTATGTCCAGAAAATAAAAAAGTTGTAAAAACACAAGAAAAAAAAATAAATAAAACTTAATCGTACTACGTTGTCAGTCGTTTTTTAACGAAATTTATATATATATATATATATATATATATATATCGATAGATAGATAGATATGCGCACAATTATATATATATATATATATGACCATATATATATATATATATATATATATATATATATATATATATATATATATATATAGAGAGAGAGAGAGAGAGAGAGAGGTACGGGTACGGGTACGGGTACAGGTACGGGTACGGTGGAGTAATGGATAGCGGTTTGGAATGAGGAATCGGAGAGCCGAGTTCGAAATCAGTTGAATCCATTACATTCACTTAGGAAAGGTATGGATCCTCTTCTTCTTCCCCTTATGGGTAAATAGCAGGACAGAGTGGGTTCTATAGCCTTGCCTGGCAACTAATCTACCTCAGAAAGAAATGTCAACCTACTGCAGGAAAAAAATCGAAAGATACATGATCGCCTTAGCGTGTATCACGCATGGCAAATAACTGACTGATATATATACATATATATATATATATATATATATATATATATATATTATTTATATGCATATATATATATGCGTGCATATATATATATATATATATATACAAACATATGTATGCACAATATATATATATATGTGTGTGTGTGTGTTTGTGAGTGTGTGTGTGGATGAATGAGATCTCGTTTCGAATACGACATATGAGTGTTTAGCAACATTAGCGCCTGTCTCTACAAACGTAAGAGATTAGAAAAGTGAGAGCAGGGGTAGATATTAGTAGGTGGTACAGTTTTGTAATTATCTACATTATGTTTTTTATATATATATATATATATATATATATATATATATATATATATCCACACACACACAAATATATATC